GGTGAGAATCTTTGTTTTCTTGTCGTTGAGCTTCAATCCATATTGAAGACTACAGTCCTTTACTTTCTGCAGCAAATGTCTCAGGTCCTCTTCAGTTTTAGCAAGCAAGGTTGTGTCATCTGCATAACTCAGGTTGTTGCTTAGCATGTAGATATTATTTATATAGAAACAAGCCCCACAATGGGAGAAACATGTGATTTACAGCCTCTGAAAACCTGCTGGAGCTATGAGTTGGTTCTGATTCAATAGTATATAGCAACAACAACAAAAAATGTATGTATATACGTATACATATACATATACATATACATATACATATACATATACATATACATATACATATACATATACATATACATATACATATACATATACATATACATATACACATATATACCCTGGACTTTTTTTCCCCTGACCTTAGCAAATCCTAGGGATTTCAGTATTACTTATATGCTGATGAGTCTCAAATTTTTGTCTCAGCTCTAACCCTGCTCTGGACTGCCAACATCTCATCTGGATGCCACAGGCTTTGACATTTCAGAATTAAAATATAACATTTTTTTTTAAATTTGCTCTCTGTCCTCTACTTTTCATTTCCAAGAAAAGATATTTACCCAGTTCCTTAGGCTCAGCTTTTATAAACATTCCCAACTCATTTTTTCATCCCACATCATATTATGAGGGCTTTACTATCAGATTAAATCCAAAATATGACCACCTGGCACCATTTCTGGGACTATACCCTAGCCAAGAACACCATTATCTCTTCCTTGGGTTTTGAAAAATAGCCTCTTACTGGGTCTTTTATTGTTCTCTCTCTCTTACATCCAAAATAATCCTTTAAAAATATTAGATTGTATTTCTCTCCTGCTCAAAACTCCCAATACATTCCTGTTGTTGTTGTTCTTGTTGTGTACCATCTAGTTGGAACTGGCCCATAGTTGACTTTCCAGCACGTTTTCAGAGGCACTGAACACATGGGAGGAGATTTGCCATATATTTTCCGCTGAGAAGCTGGTGTATTAGAATAGCGTGGCTTTGGGAACGCAGCATAGATTCTTACCACAAGGCCACCAGAGCTCCCTAATATATTCCTATCCTATTTAAGATTAATCTAGAGATTTAATGAGGCTTTCAAAGGGCCCATGCAGTCTAACCCTTGCTTAACCCACTTTATTAATTTCTTATTTTCTTTCTTTCCTGCCCTTCTTTCAGTAGTCATCTTTTTCATTCATTGAACACAAGAGCACATATTTACCTAAAAATCTTTACACTTGTTTTTCTACCCAGAGTGCTCTTTTTCCTGCACCTGCTGACCCTAAACTATAAACAAGAGGATTCAACATTTTGGTATAGTTTGAACTTTAACTTGTCAGAAAAGCTTTCTGTAATATCTCCATTTAAAGTACCAGTATCTGTCTTTATCTGCAAGGAGAACAGGTTATACCACCTGTGCTAACTTACTAAGTGCTAACTTACTAAGAAAAATGGCTGTTTGAAGCCACCAGCCACTCCATGGCAGAAAAGAACCCATGATCTATTCTTGTAGAGTATGTTGTTGTTGTTGTTTTTATGTGCTGTTGAGTCATTTGTGACTCATAGTGACCCTATGTACAACAGCCCTAAACCCTGCTCTATCCTGTGCCAGTCGCACTGCCTCTGACACACCCATCCCGATTACCCCAGTCACTGAATCAATCCACCTCATAGAGGGTCTTCCCCTCCTGCGCCGTCCCTCCACCCTCCCAAGCATGATGTCCCTCTCCAAGGACCTCCTTGCAACATGCCCAAAGTATGTCAGACAAAGCCCCAGAATCCTTGCCTCCAAGGAGTATCCTGGTTTAATCCTCTCCAGGGTGAATCTGTTTTCTTGACAGTCATGGTACATTCAATACTCTTCTCCAGTTCCACAGCTGAAAAGCATCAATTCTCCTTCTATCCTCCCTAGTCATTGTCCAACTCTCTGATGCATAACAAGTGATTGCAAAGACCATGGCCTGTATCTTTCTTTCTCTCTCTCTGTAAAGAGTATAGCCAAGAAAATCCAAAGAAGAAGTTCTAAAATTCACCCCCCCATCCCCAGCAAGTATCTACTGTCTTACCAGTCTTAATGGTAAGAAGCTGTGCTGCAAACCCAAAGGTACATGGTTCGAATCCACCACCAACTCCATGGGAGAAGGATGGACAGTCTCCTCCCATGTGCTTTGCTGTCCCTGAAAACCTGCTGGAATGTCAGCTACGGGTCAGCTCTGACTCGATAGTAAACAACAACAACAACAATTCCTTAGATGCTCAAAAATATTTGTTGAATTTTTTTAATAATGACAGTCCTACATATATGTTAAAGGACATATAGTTTTAGAATAAGAAGGATAGAGGTAATGTATTTCTATATTAAAGAGAAATTGAAAATTAAATAGAAATGAGTCTTTAAATGATAGATGGAAAAGAGCATGTGTGGAGAAAATGGTCTAGAATAAAGAAAGGAGAGTCTTAGAATTCTTAAATGGCTTTTAGGAATTTCCAGCTGTGGTAATCCTGTGTTGAGAACCAAGACCAAGACCCAGAAGGAAGGTTTTCAGCAAACTTAATGGTTCTCATTAGGGATTTCAGAGGTGCATCTATGGTGAGGATGGGGCCAAGAACTCTTTCTAGAAATGTAACAGTCTTAGTAAAGCTAATGAAATGAATGGTCATAATGCTGGTGGCACTATGGTTCATTGTTAGGCTGTCAGTGGAAAGGTGGATGTTTTGAACCCACATAGCGCGTTGGGAGAAGAGATCTGTTGATCTACTTCTGTAAATATTAAAATATGGGAAACCTGTGGGGAGGTTCTGACTTGTCCTTTCTTGTTGCTAAGTGCCATTGAGTCAACTGACACTCAGGGCAACCCTATGAACAGAACTTTGCCCTCGCCTGTGCCATTCTCATTTTTTTCTGATATATTTGAACCTGTTGACATGCCAACCCCTCTTGTCGAGGGTCTTCCTCCCATTTGATGACCATCTACTTTCCAAGCATGATGTCTTTTTCCAAGGACTAGCATCTCCTCACAACATCCCCAAGGTATGTGAGATGAAATTTTAACACCCTTGCCTCTAAAGAGGCATTGCACTTTCTCTAAGATATATATATTTTTTTTTTTTTTTTTTTTTTCCCCTTTTCTCTTCTTCTCCCTGCCTCTTTTGAAACAAACAGTCCCTCGGCCAAGGACTATCCACGTAGGTTTGTATCCAAAGACGAAATTTGTAGGTGAAAGGAGTTAGGAGTCAGCCTTCGTTAGAGACTGGTTCATTTCAGGGTCGAAAATATGGAACGCTTCACGAATTTGCGTGTCATCCTTGCGCAGGGGCCATGCTAATCTTCTCTGTATCGTTCCAATTTTTAGTATATGTGCTGCCGAAGCGAGCACTCTAAGATATATTTTTCTTTTTGGCATTCCATGGGATATTAAGCACTCTTCTCCAACACCATAACTCAATGGCATCAATTTTTCTGTTGTCTTTATTCATTGTCTTAACTATCAGAAGCATAGCAAGTAGTTGAAAAGACCATGACTTGGATCAAGTACACTTTAGGCTTTAGATTGATTCTGTTGCTCTTTATCACTTTGGAATGGTCTCTGAGAGCTCATTTTTTCAATGAAACATGTCTTTTGATTTCTTAACTGCTTTTTTTTTTTACTTTTTATTTTATTATTTTTGTGTGAGTGTACCGTCAAATCAGATCTGACTGGTACAGGAGGAGATTGTCCCTCCTTCCCCAGCAGAGCATCTGGTGGATTTGAACCATGTGCTTCTGAGATTGTAGTTGCAACTCCTTACCACTAGGCCACAAGAGCTCCCCTGATTTCTTAACTGCTTTTACAACGTATGTTGATTATGGATCCAAGTAAAATGAAATAATTGACAATATCAGTCTTTTATCCATCTAGCATGATGTTATCTTTTTGGTTTTTTTGATGTTGGGCTGTAATCCGCATTGAAGGCTCTAGTCCTTGATCTTCAGCAGCAAGCATTTTATGTCCTCTTCACTTTTGGCAAGTTAAGGTCATGTCATCTATATAATGCAGGTTGTTGATGAGTCTTCCCTCAATCCTGATGTCATATTCTTCTTCATATAATCCAGCTTCTTGAATATTTGCTCAATATACAGGCAATAAGTATGGAAAAAGATACAGGTGTGACACACACCTTTCTTGATTTTAAATCATTCAGTGTTCCCTTGCTCTGTTTGCACCATAGCTTCTTGATCTAGGTTTCACATGAACCTAGTGTTCTGGGATTCCTATTTTTCTCAATGTTAGCCATAATTTGTTATAATCCACACAGTCAAATATTTTTGCATAGCCAATAAGACATAAATAGACATCCTTCTGATATGCTCTGCTTTTAGCCAAGATCCATGTGGCACCAGCAGTGAAATCCCTGGTGGCACAGCCTCTCTTCCAAGTCCAGCTTGATTTTCTGGCACTTCTCTGTCTATGTGCTGTTCTAGCTGTCCTTTAGGATTGCTGTAAGTCAGAACTGACTCAGAGCATACAACCAGCAACATGTTTCCTAAGCCTATGCCGCATGAGGCATCAAGAATGGCAAATTGTAAACGTTAACTCTTACGATGATGAGAATGATATCTCTGATTATTGCATTTCTGAGTGGACTGGGTCAACACAACATTTCCCTTTGGAGTTGGATTGAAAAAAGTTGATGCACTTGTTTCCAGTTTCATGGGTTACTTTTTTTCTAAGATTCTGTTCTCTAAGGAGTCAAGAGACAATGAGTACAAGGAGACAATGACATAAACGGAAAGGCACAGAACAACAATAACAACAGCATAATGCCATAAAGCTTACATTGCATGATTTTGGCCATGAGATTTGTTTAAAAAGGCCGATCATGATTACCCTGCAATATTTGGATCATTTAAAAAGGTGTATTTGTGTTAGCTTATATTCATTATCTGTCTTAATTTTTTTGTTTCATTTCTTTTTGCCTAGAAGGAGAAGAAGATGAGGATGAGGATGAGGAAGATGAAGAAGAGGAAGACGAGGAGGAAGATGAGGAAGATAAAGATGCCGATTCCATGGATGAGCGCTTGGACAGTGACGCTGAGCTGCCTGGGTTTACTCTCCCTGGCATCACATCTCAGGAGCCTGGCTTAGAGCAGGGGCACATGGGCCCGTTGGAGAGAGTCACCTACCAGGTGCCAAATGCCATTGAGTGGGAACAGCAGAATCAAGGCCTGGGTAAGAGTCACATGCACTTCCTTGTCCTCTCTCTCTCTTTTCCATTTTTCAGGGCATTAGTTTTCTTTCAGTGGCATTAATCATGAAGCAGAAAGAATTTTCTGTTTCTGGGGTGACTTCGTTTGTGGAAAAAATTCAGTTACTCAGTGATGCTCTAAAACATCTGGGCTTCAAAACAGTGTCTAGTTTTTCCGTCAAGAGCCTTGTTGCCTGATCTTGGGAACTCACTAATCTTTCTTTCTCCCAGAAGGAAAACAGTTACAGGTTTTAGGAAGGCTTCCACACAAAGAGGAGATGTGTGTAACTACGTGCCAAACATACGGCACAGGCTGTGACCATCGAACAAATGCCTTTTCTAGCCATGCCATTCTAGAATGCATACACAGAGGGACATTCTTCGCTTGCTGTTGTGTCAGCATTTGAGCCTCCCCAAACTTTTCCTCCTCATTCTTACACCTACCATTGTCAAACACAGTCTCATCCCAGTGATTAGCGTGAACACAGACTCTGGCTGCCACGCCCTTGTGCGTGGCCCATATTTGTAGTGAGAACCTCTGAGGATACAGGCTGACCAGACCCAGCACTCCCCTCCCTGTCTCTTTGTTGTATTTTTCAGGAGGAGGCATATACTGAGCTCTGAGTGTTTCCCCAAAACCTCACTCTCTTGACCTGAAGTTAAGTAACCTCTTTTCCAAAGAAATCCTCCCTCGAAAATTCTCTAGTACTGCAGTAGGCTGCTCTTTAATCACTTCAGTTGGTTTAACCAGATTTTGAGTATTTCACTAAAAACCTGGATGTGATAATGTTTTTCTCCTCTCAAGCAAAATCTTTTTTAGATCAGAAGTGAGAAAGAGTGAGTTCATTTTAAAAAAATACGGGGGTGGGAAAAATTGTAACGTCTGTTTATGGTATGGTTATGTAGCTTAAAATAAGTTTGCATTTTTCTACCCTTATACTTATAAAACATTATTACATCCAGGTTTTCATGTGAAATACCCAACAAACCATGTCTGCAGGTTTCTGGGCGAATAACATAACCAATGAGTAAAAAGTTTTAGGACACCTGGTGGCAGATGGTGCAGGAAAGGTAAGTGAGGGCTGCATATGAAGGGCTTTAGATGCCAAAAGGTTTGCACTTGTTCTTTGTGAAAGAAAGCAGGGAGAAAGTGATAGAGGAGAGAGAAAAAGGTCGTTTATTAGATTAGTGAGGTAGTCCATGTGCAAGCAAAGGAATGTCCAAAGTAAGGCAGAAGGATTGAGAGTAGAGAGAGGAGACAACTTCGGGAGTATTTTTTTTTTAAAAAAATTTTTATTAATTTCAATGAACATTTACAGAGATTTTGGATTTCCATTCATTCATTGTCAGACTTTTCTCCCTGCCCACCCCCCACCCCCATTTCGCTCT